GTCTTCAATAGCCATGACAAAGATACTTAGTTTTTAAGATTTCGACTCTTTTGTTTATATGTAATCTTTTTATGTTCTTCTCTAATCAATGCTAATTGTGCTTGTTTGATTCTTGTTAGGCCGTTTCAGCTTGTCCCCCAATTTCAACTTCGCCTTATTTTCATTTCCTTGTAATGTCAACCTGCATTAGTTTCACCATATATTTTATGGAAATAAAAGGTTATGAGAATAAGAGAACCGAAAAGGGGATTATTTGGCTACTAATTGGGCTTGCAAATTTCCTAATAATTGACTCATGGACTTGGAGGAAATTATTGTAGAGATGACACCAGGTAGCCACTCTAAAAGGTTGCTATTTAAAAATTAGTCAGTGCATCTTGAATTTTAATTTTTTCGGGACAAAACTGTCCTTGATTGTCCTGAAGTTACGATTTTTAATTTAAAATTTTAGGAGAAAATAAATATGGACTAATTAAGTTATATATGTAATATTGACTAATTAAGTTATATTGTCCTGAATTATAGCAACTGTCCTTGATTGTCCTAATTATATGTCCTAAATATTGACAAAACTGTCCTTGATTGTCCTGAAGAATGACTATCTGTGCACTTGCCCCGAAATTATTCAATCTTAGGAGTTGGGCGTGGCATTTATCAAAATTAATCCGGCTGAATGGAAAAACATTTTGTGCTTTTAACACATTTGGCTAGCTGACCAAAAATAATTACAATCGCAAGCCAATATATAAAATATACACTAATTATATATAGAATATGTATATTATAATATATATTATTTATATTTTGTGGCTATTATTTTTGGGAGCGGTTATACAATGTAAATTTCTCAAACATTTTCCTATGGTTAGATGGGTACTCGTGATTCAAGAAGAAGTAAGGAATCTTTACACAAATAGTCGGTCATATTAATTATTTACTTTTTCTATCATATACATAGATTATAAATTAATTATACACATACAATACATAAATTATGCATATATTATACCTCAACCGCTATTTTTAGTTTAAGTTATTGGGTGGACGGCTATTTGGGTTAATTCTTCAAGAAGAAATAGAGCAGAATTTCAAGGGCCAAGTAAGTTGCCTTCACTTGAGATTTTAACATGCTTGCTCCCTTTTTAAAAACTATTCTCATAAATGATAGTAGGCTTTGTTTATTCCAAAAAGGGTACTTTTTAAAAAAAATTATTTTTAGCACTTTCACGTTGATAACTCCATTAACTAAGGATCCCTCTACATTAATATACTTTTTACTACATTTCTTTTTCCCTCACTCTTCGATAATTTTTTTTCTTCCATAAACAACACATACCTAAATATATCAAAGATTCTGAAAGAAGAACATCTCAAAAATAATTCCCTCTTCGAAATGAGAATTTTAGTTTTTTTTTTTTTTGAGTTTTTAACTTTTTTCTGTACAATTTTAGTTTAACAAAAAATATACCTTTAATATATTTCAAGTATATTATATTGTGATAGTTTACAATGTAAATATTCCATCAATATGTCATATATATATTTTTATATATATTTATACCACATATATTCCATCAATATAGAAGGAAAAAAAATATGTCACGTATATTGTTTATATATGGATAATTTATACAAATATGCACGTTATATTAGTGCAAAATATAAATGATATATTAATAATATATATTTAAATATAAATAAGTGTATAAATAACATATGCATATATACATGATTTTTCCTAAAAAATACATGATTTATAATATACCACAAACATACATTATATTTTTATTCTACAAAATATATGTATTTTATTTCTATATAATATACAGATATATATTTTTTCTAGGATTAAGTTGAATAAAAAGGTCCATGTATAAAAAGAAAAAAACCTGTTATGGAATGGATTGATGGTATATATTTAAATATAAAGAAGTGTATAAACAACATATGCACATATACATGAATTTTCCTAAAAAGACATGATTTATAATATATATATATATATATATATATATACCACAAACATACATTATATTTTTTCAATGAAATATATGTATTTTATTTCTTCAAAATATAAAGATGTATAATTTCGCTACATTACATTATATAAAAAGGTCCATGTATGGTAGGGGTGTCAATGGATATTTAAAAACCGACTAAACCGACCAAACTGTACCGAACCGATATTTAGGTTTCTTTAAATAAAACTATAGGTTTTTATATAAATATATAACTGTACCGATAATTAGGGTAGGTTTTTTATTTTATGAAAATAAATCGAAAAAATACCGAACCGTACCGAAAAAATTTATATATGAAAAATATATTTATATATTAAGTTTAAAAATAATAAATTATTAAATTTTTTCTTTGGCCTTGGAATTATGAAAGAGGTTACAAGTCAACAAATAACTAAACTCAAAATCCCAATTCTCAAACCTATTATGCTATTTCTACTGACACTAAATTATTTTCAGCATGTTCACTAGCAATACACAAAGTATTATGGCGATTATGAGTAGCAAACTACAATGTATTGGATATGCTTCATTCCATATGATTTAGATTTATCTTTTTGAATATTTAATCTTCTATAGATTTTATTCTTTAGTCCCAACTTGGTTAATATCTTTTCACTCGTATGATTTATATTTTTTTTTGTCTTTACTTAGTTTCCTTTACGCTGCTGTAGAATAGTTGATGGATCTATACTTTAGCCATCTTTCATATTTTCACTATTCATCGTTATTTAAAAAGTAAAAATATCTAGACAGTTTTGCTAAGTCCTATTAAAGTATATATGTTATTGCATTCTACTTATACTAGTGAATTTTACATGATATTTAAAAAAATATCGAAAATTAGCCGAATCATACCGATACCGAAGAGAAACCGACATGATTGAGACGATTTCGAAAAGTCTAATTTTGGTTATACATTATTAAATAATCAAAAAATTAGTATGGTATAAATTTTATAAAATAACCGGCTGAACCGAACCATTGACACCCCTAATGTATGGAAAGAAAAAAATCTGTTATGGAATGGATTGGTTTCCAACAAAAACATAAAGCATGTTATGGATCGAAGAGAAAAAATATGGAAAGATATTAAATACTAGGAATGCCTTTTTAAGCAGCTTCATTCTTGCCGATTTGAATTGAATGAAATCTGCTATATGTATAAATATTTTACTGCCATATTTGTTAATCATTAATTAATGCTAAACTTTTATATTATGTTTTTAATAGTTTGCTATTAATGAAAGTAGCTCCTAATAAGAAAATTATTCGCGTTAATTTCATTATTTTCACTTAACTTTTAATTTATTACACTGAAATTACTAATCTATATTTTTATAACACAAAGTCACTTAATTTTACCTAAGTATCATAAAAATAATATTTATATTCACTATTACCATGTCTTATTTTTTCCCCCCTCCTATTAAATATTTGTGATATTTAGGCAAAGTTAAATGATCTTTTCATTATAAAATTATTTAGTGACTTTATGTGACTAGGTCAAGTCATGAATAACAGAAAATTAAAAATGTACATATCTTTAAGCTCTCGCGTGTGACATGGTAATTGATCGACACTTTCATTTCTCCTACTTCCACTTCATCTCTCGTATACTTCTTAATTCTTCTTTGAATAACAGTCTCGACCACCAAGAAATTTATTATTTTATACGCAATAGCTTAAACGGTAAAATTCTCATTCAAAATACTCCTTGATCATTTTTACATAAGGCTCTCGCCGTCCAAGATAGCTGATAATTTATCCTTCATACATAACAATTTTAAGATAAGAAACTATTTTTTTATCCTGAATACTTTTAATTCTTTTTAATTTTGCCTAAATATCATAAAAATAATATTTATATCCACTGTTACCATGTCTCATTTTTGTTCCTCCTATTAAATTTTTGTGATACCTAGGCAAGCGTAAATGATATTTTCACTAAAAAAAAAATCATTTAGTGACTTTTTGTGACTAGGCCAAGTCATGAATACTAGAAAATTAAAAATACACATAGCTTTAAGCTCTCCGTGTGACTTTTGTCTTATGACGTGACATATTTATTGATCGCGTGGCCTTTCCTTTCTCATACTTCCATTTTTTCTATGGTATACTCATTGATTCTTCTTAAAAGTAACTATCTATCGTTTTATACGCAATATCGTAAACGATAAAAAAAATCTTTCTCATTCAGAATACTCCTTGATCATTTTTACATAAGACTTCCGCAATACAAGAGAATTAACAATCTATTCTTTTAACATAATATTCTCAGCCGCTCAAAAAAATTAATTATCTATTTTTCTGTAGGTAATATTTTAAACGATAAAGAAATCCTTCTCATTCAAAATACTCCTTGATCGTTTTTACATAAGATTTTCGCCATCCAAGAGAACTGATAATATATCCTTTATACATAACAATTTGAAGATAAGATATGATTTTTCAATCTTGAATACTCTTAATTATTTTTACATAACATTCTAAGTCGCTCAAAAGAATTAAATATTTTTTTTTTGTGTGTGTAATATTTTAAACGGTAAAGAAATCGTTCCTAAAATAATCCATGTCAACAACAACAACGATCCAGTAAAATTTTACTAGTGGGATCTGGGAGAATATTGTATACGCAAATCTTACCCCTACCCTGAGAGAGTAGATAAGCAGTTTCCGAAAGATTCTCGGCTCAAGAATACAAAAAGATAAAAAGATAAAAAGATAAAAAAAATTAGTATCATCCCATAAATCATAAAAAAAGTAACAATAAAATAAAAACAAGAAGATAGATGCAAAGCAAAAATGATAACAGTAAATAGACTGACACTATGAGAAATAAAAGAGCAGTAAGAAACACATTACCCTTCACAACAAAAATTCTACTAGACTAGTCTCGCAAAGTTAGGCAGAAAGTAAATACTTAACTAGCTCATAACCAACGGAATCCATGTCAAAGGAAAAATTAAAAAAGATCCATCAAACATATTTTTGTCTCATCAATATGCAAGGCGGAACAAAGATCACAAAAACTCCCTTTACAAATTCATCATTCGAGACAGGAAAACCACGGATTGAAACAAGAAGATAAACAGTATGAAATTGAAGGAAATACAAACACATATAAAACGGGGCAAAGAGGCGCAAAACATTAGAAACAATTCAAAACTCACGAACTCACAAACAACAAAGGTAGTTGCATGTTTGACATGAGTCAAAAGGGTTGAAGTTCCACATAAGTCAGTCACTTTCCTCTCTCTCTCTATGTGATTTTTGTCTTTCCCCGCAACCACCACTGATCGTATTCTGAACAGAAGCAAACAGTGATGGAGAAATCAAGAATGTGAGGAAAGTTTGTGTCAGAAACCCAACTGACCCACTTAGAGAGAACCTTCGATTTCTCCGAGAGAGAGAGAGAGACCAAACACTTTTAGCACTGTTTCTTCTTCCGACAACCATGAATCCTAGTAAAGTTGAAGCAGAAGATCTATTCCACCATCACTTGGACCCGCAACATCACCAAATCTTGGATCAATCACAGCCGTCAATTCTTCACCAGGACGATGAAGAACCGTTCTTTTCTGATATCGGTTTTTTCCGCGACGAAGATGACGATGCTGCCAGCCATAGTTCCTCCGACCCCGATCAACATCAGCTAATTCAGTCGTCGCTACCTCATTTGGACCAGCAAAACGGCATCGTTTCTGCAAACCCTAACCCTAACCCTAATTTGGGTTTGGGAAAGTCCGGCGATAAAAATAAGGCGGAGAAACGCCACCGGCATACGGCTGGTGCATCGGCGGCGGCGTATATAAACCCGGAACCCCACATTTCATCTCAATTCTACACATTCAACAAGGAATCCCATGCGCTGATGATACGCTGCCTCCTTGAGGGTCGCGTCGCCACGCCGGAGGAAATTCGATCTGTCACGCCGGCGTCGGTGCTCCAGAGCTGGCGCGTGGTGTGGAAGGACCGGAATGAGGACACAGCGTATCTCACGGCCTGGAAGCGGATACAGGACAAGCTCGTTGTGAGTATCGACCCCGTGAATGGTAATGAATTACTGTGTTTCAAGAATAATTCGAGTCAATTTGTTTCCCATGTTGATCAATGGCATGATATAGTCACGAGCTTTCACCGTGACGCTGATTTAAAACACTTAGGTCTCAAAGAAACTATAGAAAAAATCAAGCAGGTTTGGACTGTAGGTGCTAAATTTTATGGCATACCTGAGAGTTATATTAGGGTCTGTGTTGAGGTGTGTCCCGTGTGCTCTGAGTCTGCGCCACGTACTAAGAGGCGTAGGTTCGAGTATACTGAATCATTCTATGTACCAGCAAAGGAAGTGCCCGTTAGATTACAGCAATTAGCTGCCAAGTATAAAGTGGTGTTGTGTATTAGACAGAAATATATAAGGTATAAGCCATTTATGGCTGAGGTTAAAGATTACGCGTGTCATCGAGCAGGAGAGCCTGCATCCTCGAAGAAATCGAGGATTTTAAAGAGGGAGCCTTACGCGTCAAAACGGTGTGGGTGTGGGTTTCGTATCAGGGCGATAGTTCCAATATCGAATTATAATGAGAAGGATAAGACATTTGTCTATCAGGAGGAAGGGACAGCAGTCTTTAAGTTGTATGCGGTGCACTCGGGGCATGAACCTGGCCCTTTGGATGGGAATGCAAGGATAATGCATCGAGTTGTTGGGCATAAAGGAGGGTTCTTGATGGATCAGGAAACAGTGTATGGGATGGGTGATGAAGCAGAAAATGAAGACTTTGGGTTCCTTGGGAAGGATGGTGGGGATCTGCAACATTCGATTTTGCAGCAAATGCAGGAAGCAAGGAATGAGATTGGGCTACTTGAGGGCCAGATCGGGAAAGTTCCTCATGAGTTATTGTGCTCTGTGTCGCGTGAACTGTTTGATTTTGTGAATAAGCTTAGGAATGTGAGAGAATATGGATCCAAGTCAGTTGGATTGCTCTCAGATAAGCCGATATCGGATGATCTCTTGGTTGGGGAAAATGATTTGGCAGATTGGGGCGCTCATCATCATCATCATCGCATTTATGAGGATGGCAAGGATGCAGAGCTCATCGAGGAAGATGAAGACAGCTTCGGGAGGACACTTGGGGAGGTTGCATCTTGGGATCAGATAAGGTCAGGTTGTAGGAACGAGAAGGATCTACTGGGTGAGTCTTGTAAATCAGAGAAACCAGTGGAATGCAATGAGTTTGATCAGAAGCGCATTCTTGAGTGTGGGAATTCTAAACTGACCAAGCCCTTAAGGCATGATGAGAGTATAGATACAGATGTAGGTTTCGTTGTAGAGAACTTCTATCCAGAGAACCCTAAATGGTTTGATTCGCCCTGTGAACTGGACTCCGGCACAGACTGTGGCGACAGTGGATTCAAGCCTGGGGAGATTGTTTAGAGATCTTACAGCTGGTGACCCACTCTAACTTAATTCTGAGTCTTTTCTGTTCCATTTTTCATACTATAATGTTAGAAGTGGGTTGTATATTTGTGTAAACAAAAGGTTGAAACATCTGGCAACCTCTTTGTTGTCTTTGCTGTTGTAATTCTGTAAAGTACAGCCTGTGGGCTTCTTTGCACATACATTAGATAGTTATTTGACTTGTCATAAATTTTCAAAACTTCAACTTCGTTTTTCATATTTGAGTTAGTGGTTTCCTTTATTATCTTGCATTTATAGTATATACTGCTGCTCTATTGATTTTATTGCTGAGATGCATATAGCAGATAATTACTGAATTGTGCTGCCTTTTTGTCATTGTAATTATTGTAAAACTATTTCTATATGCAGTTTATTATAGAAAAACTAGAGTTATATAAAAACATACTACTAAACCATTGCGCATGTATCTGTAGCATTGCAGAATGGTGTTAAACAAATTTTGGGTTCCGAAAAGGAAAGAGTATCACTTAAATCCGAAAAGAGTAATATCTAATCAATACTGTAGATCACAGGAAGCTTGTTCCACAATAGCTTTTGGCTTCAAGAAGCATTACCTTCTTTGTTCATTCTCCGTATAACTCATTGAACCGAAAGTCACATTTGGCCTTCAGTCGTGCTAAAACCGAAAGTAGACTATTTATTCCCTAACTGACATGCTTATCCTAAAAAAAGGTATAGAACGTTTGATTTCCTTGCAAACTATTGATGGTTAAGTAAAGAATAAGGACGGTATTTGAATTTTCAAATAACAAGCAAGATTGGCTAAATCTGTTTCTGTTAGCTGTATTTATTTGGGATTGAAATGATCTCTTTGGAAAAATCTTCTCGTGTGTATTAAAGAATGCATTCACAAGTTACAAATATTTATGTGTTTCCATAAGCAATTGGTAGGTAGTATTTGAAGAAAAAGCTCAGAAGACTGAAGACCATAAGTTGGAATTGCCTCAAAGATCTATGCTTCAAACCTAGAGAATCATAACGGAACATCCTGTGCCGTCCCATAGTAAAATCAGTTGTTGCTGATTCCTTCTTATCTTTTCCTCCTTCCACAACTAGAGCTCGGACATTGACAAAATTGTTTTGAGAATGTGGCAAAAAGTTCTAGTTTTTATTTACTTGTTTTTTTCCTTTTTGATGAAGGTGGCAAAAGCTTCTAGTTGGAGGTGGCAATTTGGAACTCTTAACTATTGTTGATGTACGAATGATGGCTTATTTCTATGGCTTCTGAGTGAGATTGAACAGAGATACATGAAATGATTCTATTCAGTGGTTTGAAAATTATCATGTAGATAGATATCCTTAGTAACTCAACAAGCTAATCAACTTATCTTGATGCGGGAAAAGAAAAAAGAAGACAAGGAGATCAATCTAGCTTATTTTGGTTCGTTTTGGACAATGTCTAGTTTGACCTGTTGGCTCTAAAATCTATGTCCTATTTTCAGAAACAAGGAAAATTTGGAGAAGATGAGACTGTGTAATGCTCATTTAATTCAAATGGTTGCATATCCTGATCCCATATATCTTACTTATGTGTTATGACACAATAATAACAGGTATATGCAACCTCGTTGATATTTTGAGAATCAATAAAATTAATCCAATTTAAGTTTGAACTCTTTATTTTTTGAAAGATAAATCTCAACCTAAGTACAGAATATTTAGAATTGTGTCTACTAATTTGAATTCAATTGTTATCAATGAAGCGACCTGTTTTGACTGTGTACTAAAATCACCAGGATTTTTCTAGGAAAGTTTTGGCAAAATTAAATGCTGTCAATCTTTAAATTTTACGCACATTTTTGGATTTTCTATTAAGCCTTTAATAATACTAACGATCAAATCTATGAATTGTATCAATCTGTGAATATATGATTTGTCAAATAACTATAATGAGTTGTGATGGTGTCATTGAGGTTCTTTTTCCATTGGTGCTAGAGAGAATTTTGTTGGCTGCTTGTAATAAAAAACCTTTCCAGTCATCTCCCTTGAGTTAGTTCAGATTTGCTTTTGTTTGAAAATGAAAACAACAGATCTTCCTATTAAAATTGTATTTGCTTAAGAAAAATACAATCAATTTGTTCATACTATTGAGCATAAGTTGCTATGTTTAGCTTTGAGTTCTGAAAGCAGTCATGAGGAGAGAACCTCTTAAGCTAGCAGCAAACATTGGAAAAAGTGTGAAGGTTTATTGTTGAAGAACTAGTTCGTGACGATTATCTTGATGTGGACATGTAATTGAGGAATAGAAATCTCACAGGAACTTGTCATTGTCTGTTAGTTTCAGTTCAACTATAATTGTTGTCCTCACATATATCTGTAATGGTTTCTTTTTTTCTTTTACTTGTCTGTAGTATCTGAGAATGAAAATAATGGGTAAAAGGCAATTGAAGTTCATTTAAGATTCCTTTGGATGTGTTTTGACAGCTCCCTTGCGTACAAACAGCTTATGGAAGTTTATCTCTCATTACATTACTTTCCTTTTTCTTTTTCTATTTGAATTGTCAGAATAGCTACTGTTTGGTCGTAGAACAATGTATCTGTATGTCTAAAGAAAGCTGATGTATGCTCCTGCTGCTTTAGGGATAAAATTCACTTCTTGATTGTTATTTTCCCTTTAGCAGACCTTGTTACCTGTGAGGCGTTTCCCCACTTATCAGTAATTTTATTGATCCTGCTCCACATATCCACATATGACATACCTAACGAAGGCTAAAGTTAAGATGCACGTACATTTGTCCTCTTGGCAAAAACATAAGGAAGGCCTTATTAATCATTAACCTATTGGAGCTTCTTTGGATCTCAATGCCCTTCATCAACAAGTATTTGTATCTTCTGTAACTCTTATAAGTACTTGTGATTTGGTTGACAAGTTTAACAGTTAACTCATGAAACTAGAATCAAAATAAATCTTTCTCCCTGCTTTCTCAAAAAAAAAAATGTTTCTCCCTGCTTGTGTTTTTTTTTCCTTCAAGTTATGGCTCGTCCTGTTAGGTTTTCCATGTGTCTAAAAATCTACTTTATTTATAAAAAGAATTTATGTGTCTAGTTGAGTTGGTTTTGTTATCCTAAGCCTAGAATAAATAGCCCATTATGGATCTTGGAAATTGGACAAGCTAGTTTTTCTGGTTCTGGGTTATTTTGAGGAAAGTATAAGATGTTCAATGAGTTATATGGCTACCTCCCATATGGAAGCCGGCACAAACTGACTGCAAGAACGTCGATTGCACAATGTTGGCAGGCTGCTATTTTGAAGAATACAAGCTTTTGACATGTTGCTTGGGTGGCGTGAAGCTTTTGGTGAGTAAATTTTAAGTTTCATTATGTTAATTATATGCAGATAATGCTCTTTATGTTCTCATTTAACATACTGCTGCTTGTTCCTCTTTTACGTTTGCTTTTATTTGCTTCCTTTGTTTTTTGGGGGTGAGAATTACACATTGGAGAATGATCTTTGTAATTCAACCGATGTTTCTTATGCTGTTGTTTGCGGATGTTCATTAGTGAAGTGCAGAGGACGGTTTTCTTTTCCCAAAGAACGATAACAATGCTTTCATTGTCTTCTGGATTTTGGGTGCATAGTACCTTATCCTTTTTTGTCTTCTTCTGCATTTGAAAGAAGGCAGATTCTGCAGAAAATAATTCCAGTTTATATTTTGAGTGAACTGCTTGGCTTTCCTTTGTACATTTTGATAAAGTGTTCTGCTGTGATGCTTCAAATCCATTTGTTAAGTTTCTGCATTTTGCTTTCTCGTTTCGTTTTGAAAGAAAGTTTGCAGGTCAAGTGGAGAAAATTTTATAACCCCATGCTCTCTTTTATTTTCATTTCACATAGTAAAATGGAAGGATAAAATTTTACTCTTAGGACTGGCAAAATCAGAAGCATGGGATTGATTCTTTAAATGTCTTTGGGATGGAAAAATTTCCCTTTGACCAATTCCTTCTGATTATGTGACTTGGTCCAGTTCTCCCATGGAAAGCCCAGAAAGGTGCCATTCTTACTGAATCTTTAAACCCCCAAAGTACCTCAACTATTTTGTAAGATTTAATTTTCAGTTATTTCAGCACGTGTATGAAAAATTAAACAACTGTAATTGCAGTTGGATGCTTCTTTTTTCTGTTTTATGTGTTTCATATGGGATGTGAATTCTAGAATCCAAGCTTTACGAGGAATTGGTTATGTTGTGTCAAAAACAAGTAAGCTATAGGAACTTATCAACATGCTATTGTCTGTTTTTTATGTGATGTTCTTAAATTCACCATTCTCATGTTTGGTCTGGCTAACTCAAAACTCAACTTAATGTGGCATTTGGACTGCTGTCTTTCTAACCCATTAAGTTTTATATGCTTTTCATGGAAATAAAATTTCATTGGTAGATTTACCCCCAGTTGTTACAACTTGTGTATCTGAGCTTGCATCTTTTGAACCTGTGAAATGTTTTGCCTGCATTCTGGGCCCCGGCCTGAAAGTTGTGTCCTCCCCCCCCACCCCCCTCCTTTTTTCTTTTGCCCCCTGGTTCCCTCAGATTGGTGGGACCTTAGGTTACATTGAGGTACTAACAACCCAGTCAATTAATCCATGTGAAGAAGTGTAGTGGAATTCCAACTAATTGTCGAAGCCATCTCAACTTTATTCCACTTTAGCTCTGTCAAAGGTCACATGGTCTTCAATGTTGGTGATGAGAGCAGCAATGTTGATGCCTCCTACTCAACTTGGGACCTTGAGGGGATGAGAATGAGCAAGTTCTCTTTCTATGCATGTTTACAGGTGCCTGGTATTGCAGTTTTAGAAGACTGTCTTTGTTTGGAGAAAAAGCAGAAGCAGTCGACATTGGCGAACCATTTTGAGGTCTGTCTCACAGAAATTGCTGGATTGAAGTGTCAAACACGATCATTTTGAGGACGTTCTGTTACAAATGCTGTCGGTTGATGCACCTGGGTAGTGTAGATTTGGTAGTTCAATTCATATGTAAGTAAAGGTTGCTTGAGTTTTTGACTTTGTAATTGCTGTCACTCATGATTGGTTATAGTTATTTCGCTGTGGTGCAAAGCACAAACGTTTACTTCTGATTATTTTGTGCATTCTTCTATTGCCCACTTTCAAATTTACGTTGTTTCTTATGTATGCTATTAAAGGAAGAATGAGAACTGAAGTGTCAAAAGGATAAAAGGAAGAACTTATACCGATGCCCCTGGGAAGAGGAATAATTACGAATGAAATTAAGAAGCTTCTTTTCAGTATATGGTGTCGTAAAAGGTTAAAATTACCCTCCCCCCTAAATCCTCCTTCCCGTAAGGAATGTCGCATTTTGGGGTAATGAGGTCAATGTATTTAATATTGTTTTTTATAAAAAAGATTTACACATTTAGAAATTACTCAGAGAATAGGTAGTCAAAATCAAAGTATTTTTGCTGTTCAAAATATTCAGGAAGGGTTTGAATAAATGTAATTACAGAAAATCATTTCGATCTTTAAATAGTTACAGTGCAATATAACTTGAGATATAGCGAGTGGTGGTCATAGTTAAAGGATTTTAAAGTATCAAGAATAATTTATAGTGGCTAAATATTGCAATTAAATCGTGCTTTGAAGAATCATAATAGGCATTATCTCGGTTGCAACTGGCTGTAGTTTTTTAAGTATCAACTTGGGAAAGAGGTCCAATGTTCCAATTGGTTTGTGTAATTAGTACGATAGACTTTAATGAGTAAAACATCATATGAAATCGATTCGAATATGAAGAATATAGTTGCAAAAATTATGGAGGAATCTATGCTATTTGTAAATGGTATCTCAAAGCTAAAATTAATATTGGTGATCTTTATTTTCTAATGAATGGGTAGAATATTTTCAAATTGTTTGCAAATATGTGATTATAGTTCTAACCCATACACCTCTACTACTTCACTAACTCTTCGTATTCAATTCTTGGTATGAGTTAACTTTTTTCACTAAACCTTAAGAACCTCTTTTGCTAGTGGCCCTATTAGTATAGGTGCTTGATCGATAAAAAATAATTGCATTCGCTAGCAAATATATATATACACACATAAAATATATACATTTTGTTGGCTATTATTTATGGGAGCCACTAAAAATAAATTGAATTAAATCATACAATAACAACATATGCAGTGCAATCAAACTATAACAAGGTAAAAAAATTGATACTCCTCACCTATGAATTAACTAACTTATTCAGTGACTTTAGCATTTGATTGTACCAAAATGGGACAAGTGAGAAATAGAATAAAGGATTTATGGCCCAGAAATAAAATAAAATAAAATAAAATAAAGGATTAAAGAAAGAAAAAATAGAATAAAGGATTAAATGGGAATCAACTTTGAAATTCAAAAAACAAATTCGGCACTTAATTAATGATCAGCGCCCTATAAAGATGACAGCGCCAAAAAAGGCGCTCTCTCTGCGCATACGTTTGCTTTTACAAAAGCTAACGTCTCCTCCTTTCCCTCCTTCTCCCACTCAAAATTCAAGAATTCAATTCTACAATTCCCCTTTTCCCAAATTATCATATCATCAAAACAAGCGTCACGCATTATCACCAAGAGTTCCATTTTTGTAATTTTCTGTTGGTTACTGGTCATCAAGAATTTAGCCAGGTTTCTTTTCTTCTGTTTCTGTGTATTTTACGTTTAGTGAACTTGATATTCAGTGCATGTTTTGGTTATAAGCAAAATGAAATTTGAGAGTGGAAGTTAAAGATTTGAAAAAATTCATACCAGAAAAGTTCTTCTCTTTTTTTATTTTCAGGTAAGAAATATGTTCTCAATTTCACTCGAAAAAGGGATTTCACGTTGAAACCCGTTATTTCTGAACAGAATCCACAAAAATTCCACCCATTAATAGTTGGTCTTATACTCTTGAAAAGATAATAATTCTTTCATGGAGCAAAAAAAATATCAAATCAAGATTTTGTCTGTTAGTATACCTAATAGGATTTTAGTTTCTAGGGCAATTAATTCGACATTCTTGTAATTTTACATGTGCATCCATTAGAAGCTTAATCATTTTCACATTCTGGACGAGAAACTATACATGACAAAACAAGAGCCTTATTTCCTGCGGTTTCTTTTTTAAAATTATAAGGTATAGTTGTTTAATTGTATAGATAACTGTAGATTGAATATATGCTTTTAATCCTAACAAAGTAAATATCAAAAATTGTTTGAGAGGTTCTGCCCGAGAGGTGCTGAAAGATCATCACAACTTTTGTGACATTGTAAAAAGGTTGCACATTTAGTTGTTAGGACTAAATCTCAGTCCTTTACCATCTCATTCTCTTTCTCTGTCTTAACCTTTTAAAATTCTTTGTCAAGGCGTAAATGTTTCAACATGCATAACCGCCAAAGTGAGAAGCCTTTGCATATGGAGACAACTTGCGGCTCTCTTCTGTCTGAGATGCAGGTTTGCTCCAACTATGCTCTTCTATTGTTATCTTAAGAAACACAAGACTTATATCGTATTGTGAAAGTGTTGTCTTTTTGGTGTGTTACCTTGTTTGTTTGGATCAGAGAATATGGGATGAGATGGGAGAGCCAGAAATTGAAAGAGATAAGATGCTTTTTGAACTCCAACAAGAGTGTTTAGAGATATATAAAAGAAAAGTGAATCAAGCAAGTCGTTCTCGCGCTCAACTGCAGCAAGCTGTTGCTAACTCTGAAGCAGAACTTGCAAAGATATGTGCAGCACTAGGAGAACAATCATCATATGCTAGGCAGGTTAGAGACAAACAAAAGCCTCTCTTTTGAAGCATTCAGTAAAACTTTAGATCTTTTGCTTGGTATGTAGAACCTTTTTAACATTTAGCCTCCTATATAGCAGAGTTACAGAAGTTTGAATGAAGAGCTTAAGGCTATTAAGCCTAAGTTAGAAGAGATGAAGAAGAGAAAAAGAGAGAGGATGGACCAATTTGCAGCTGTTGTCGATCAGATACAGTGTATCTCGAAAGAGCTCTGTGTACACTTACAAGAGAATACACAAATGAGTTCCATTGATGAAAATGATTTGTCTGTCAAAAGACTAGAAGAAATGCAGAATTATTTGCTTGCTTTGCAAAAAGAGAAGGTCTTTTCTGTTTCATCTCTTCCCTTGTAATATAATATTATTTTATTTTGATATCGCAGTGATATGTACTATAATCTTGTGTTAGCTACACGTGCATCTCCTTTAATTTTAATATTTGTATCTGTGTCCAACTGCTTCTTTTTCATTT